AGCAGCAGCAGCAGTAGCAGTAGTTTTCTTGCTGCTGAATTTAAATGCAAAAGCAGTAGCAGCCCCAGCACCAGCAGCAGCAGCATGAGCAGCAGCAGTGCCAGCAAAACTCGTGTTGGCAATCATAAATTATACGAGCACAGGGAACACTGCCATCCTAGACATGGTGGGCGCGGAGTTTGAAACAAGACAACTCTACGGTTGATAATCGGTCTACTACGGATTCAGAATCTGTGAATACTCCAGACAGCAATGTCAAACACCAGATCTGGAGATATGGACAAAAAATCGTGCGAAAAATGGACCCTTAAGAACACACAGCGGAGCTTCAAGCTGACACGATATCCGAGCTGTCTGGTCACAAACCTGCAATGGATCATAGGTTGCTGGTCATGGCTTCCCTGTATGCCACGGAAACCAAGCTTCCTAACTTGTTGAAGCAGCTCCCGCAAACGTCGCGAGGCAATAGCGGCACTTCGATCCTGAATCGGGTGCGTTCATCTTCTTTTTTCACCTAGAACAGTTCAGAAGTTCAGAACATGTGAATTTGGAGCTGCAACTTTATCGATTGCTATGTCTTAGAGCTGATTTGGAATGGTTGCACTCCCTCCATCTGTCTGACCAGGGGCACGCTTCGAAGATCAAGGAGAAGTCATGCACCTGTACCACTAAGAGAGTCAGCATTGCATACCAGCAAAAGGGCTTCAAAGTCCATCATTGAAGTCCCTGGCGTGCGTGCTAAATTGGTTTCACACACTGCTTCTGTCTCGGCCGGACCGTGCTGACGGTCGTCATGGCTTCCTCGTAAATGTCACGGGCTTTCTCGAACTGGCCAAGCCTGCCATGAGGAGATCAAACTGCCTAGTTCCAAGCAAGATGGCACACGTGGCTCCACTCTGCGGCTGCACAAAGACTCTAAGATCTTCATCATGCCCTTGAACGTACAAATCTGTGCCGTGCCCTTCCTGATGAAGTGATCTCCAAGAGAGATCCACAATCGCCCGACCTCGTGAGGTGTACCGATTTGAGAATGTCATGACTGTGAAACACCAGAAGCACCCCCACGGTCCCCACATGCATTTGCCCGGTGCCTCATCAGTAAATTGCCGAATGCCGCTGCGGATGATTGACCTGTGGGCAACTCCACCAAGATTCAGACTTGGGGAGTTTGGCTCAGGAAGCTGCTCGATGTTTAGAGACTTGATGTCAGCAGGATGCTTGGAGACCTCAAGCACTGTCAGGTCAGAAGAGATTTGTGCAGTGGTAACTTCAGGCAACTCAGGTGACTACAAGGTCGCAGAGATCCATCCAAAGCTGATGACGAGTCTTTCCCTCCATGGAGCTGAAGTCCTGCGATTGCGATGCCACTGATTTGCTCCAAGCCCAGCACGGGCCGAGCTGCAGTGCAGCAGGGAGAGCGCCTCATCATCCACCACACCGGCGAGCTTCTGTGCAGCCTCGTCATAACGCCTGCGCAGCATGTGCTGTGACTGCCACCTTGCAGGGCATTTTCAGGACCGGGAAGCGCACCCAATTGTTCGCAAGTAGGCGATGTAGATCTGCAAAAGGTCTCTTCCGGAGAACTACGAAGTGGCGAAGTTGCACATCTGAACCGGCTGTCGCCTCGACATGATCAGGCTCCAGCATGAGGTACCGCCTGAAAGCACAGAGTGCCGTCTCCTGCAGGGCTTCTCGACACCTGATGCCTCAGCCTTCAGGTAAAGGGCTCCTGGGGTTTGCTAAACCATTGTGCTTTGACTTGCAGCGCAAGTGCACGTGTGAACTCCATGCACCTTCTGTTGAAAGATGCACATATACATCCCGAAGACCGTTTCAGGAATCAAGTGCAATCTCGAAGCGAGCCCGTGATGGCATCTTTCTCCTTGGGAACTTCTCCATCCTTGATGAACTTCACGTACAGCTCCTACGGCGACCCGGCAGCTGCATTTGCCAGCTTGAGATGACAGCATCCTCAAATCTTAGGGCCGACCCATATTCGGGAATGCTGCGTGATGGGTAGCGACCGCAATGCCTGAGGCAATCATCACACGCCTGCTGCAGTCGCATGTGTTGGCACGAAATCCTGGCTGGCAGAGTCCCACACACTGTCTAGCGCACGTCGTGCACGTGTTATCTTCTTCTGCTTCATCAAGAACTCGATGTACTCTAGCCTCAACGTTCCGCATCTTGAGGGGTGGACCAGGGGAGCGAAAAGCTAGCGGCCGAGGCTTCAGGGACGTCAAGCGAAATAGAGCTGTCGAAACCGGCTCCAAGCATCATCACATCCAACCACGTCAGCAAAGGAAATCAAACAGAGCTGACAAGGCAGGCTCCAAGCATGATCACATCCAAACGCATCCATCAGCAACACGGAGCGAATTCAAAGCTGGCGAGACGGGCTCCAGGCATCCTCACATGCGACCACAGCTGCATCAGCAACGCAGGGGAAACAAAGATGGCATCAGCACATCCAGCCACATCAACAAGTCAGCAACATTACGGGGGGGAGAGGGGTGAGAGGGGGGAGGGGGGAGGGGGGAGGGGCCGCTCTGACCTATTCGTGATGGCGAACGTCACGAAACCTGAACATAGGCTCGTAGAGATTCCGAGGCCAGAACCAAATGCGCGGCATCTTGTGCAGAAACACCAACGCACGCTCGAAGGCATTGTTTGCAGCCTGGCTCAGCACAGAATCGTTCTTGCTGCTCTCACACACTGTCTTTCCTCGCCCCGTTCGGTGTGGCCTGCCTCGTATTCAGCATCTAGAACTGATGCGCCTTTTACCTGCTCGCACGTGCACCCATGCAATACGAACATCCGCGGCTATACTTGTCCGAGACCACCACGCTGCTCATGCGTAACCTGACACTGCTTGAAGTTACAGTGTCGGAACAGTGCACCTCTACCCTACAAAGCTTCCGCGACTCCCACCGTGCAAGGCTCCGACTGCAGGTAAGCGTGCCACAGCTTGTACGAGCCGGGGAGCTCCTTTAGGAGCACAGATGTAGCATCCGTCTGCAGGCAAATGAGCTGTGAGCTTGTGTGAGCTTGAGTCTCGTGATCTCTATCTCTGTGTCTCTCTTTCTTTGTGCCCCGTGTGCTCATACAGTGTTTCTCTCCTCGCGCAAACAAAAAACCTCGTGGGCATAGACGTTGGGATGCCGAGTATGCGTCATCTTAAGGGAGGCACTCCAATATCGAACCAAACGACGGTCCGTTGCTCCCCCACCCTCCAACAAAACGGCTCCTCCTTGTTCTCTCCTTGAGGATTTTTCCCAACCAAAGGACCGAAGAGCGTCGCTCTGCTTGACTTTGATTACTCGGTATTAAGTCTGCAACCTTCACCTCAACGACACAAACACCCCTTACCCGCGCAACCATGTTCGTTTCCTCGCGCTTGGAAAATTGCAAGAGCTGTCTCACGAGGCATTTGCATGATCGGCTCAAGCAAGGGCGCCTTAGCTTTCAGCGCAACGCTGTTTTTGACTGCGATGTGGCAGTTTCGGACAATGAAACCTTGGGACAGACGTGCACCAGGCGTTGTACGCCACGGTGAAGAGGGACCTGTCTGTATCTTTGACTAGTAATTAGCCTGTACTGGGCTTTAAAAACCATGACGAACTGGTCGGTATAATGTAACTGTGGACTTACCCTGCAGTCTGGTGTTGCTTCTCATGCTAGACTGGGTTCGAAACCGCTACCGCTCTTTGGATACTGCAAGAACGCTCCAACCTTGGCTGAGTGTCTGGATCCTACCCCCATAAACAGATCCGACATAAGAGCTTGGAAACAGACGAGTTTTATGCATCGTTTGCTTCGCAGCTTCGCCAAATGTCAGAAGACGCTACCACTTTCCACTCAATGACCTGAACGCATAGAAAGAGCTATCTTTTGAAGTTCGTCCGCTAGCACTGGTCCGTTATGGTCGGTACAGTTCTAGTGCATGCATACCGGAAAAACTCGGACGGAGCGCTCGCCTTTTTCGGATGGCTGTAGCCGCAGCGATTCGGTCCGAATCGGCCGGTCAGATATCGGACCGGCGATTTCGAAGATCGGCTACGGATCGGTATTCGGGTATTTGGTCGGCCAGCAGACTGCGGTGCAGTACGGCCGGCCGACGGGAAGGACTTTGCTGGGTATACGGCCAAAATAGGAACCCGGAGCGAGCGATGGAGTACGCGCATTAGGGGAAACCAAGCCAAAGTCAGAACTCCAAGCCGCAGGCAGCAAAGGGGTCCCCACAATCCGAATAAGCTAGACCGGTTGAACGGCCGGAAAAAAAGAAGCATCCAGTGCTTCAGAGGGATGATAAGAGGGACGAGGTGGTCCGGACAGAAGATGCCAAGGGACGGAGACTTCGTCGGTGAAATTCAGCCCAAGCAGGACAGGATCCGTTGAACGACTCAATCCATCAGCCACTTTGTTCCGGAAACCTGGAACATGGTCAATGTACGTGGAAACAGCAAAGTGACGTTGGCATGAGAAGTAAGTGCGCAGGAGAGCACAGAAGCCACGAGCGGTGGACAAACCTTTCCAAGAGGCGGAGTTGTGACAGAGAGTTGTCACAACGGCTGATAAAATGAAGGGGCGGGTGCGCACCGGAGACGAGCAATACGACGCACCAGACGAGGGCGAGCTGGCCAAAAACTTCCAGGCAACAATAAATAAAGGTTTGTGGGGATGTGGACTGGGCAAACCAAGGAAAAAGAGCTGCTAGCTCAGTGGCGGAGAACCTGGCGCGGAACCAGATCGTGCGGTCCGAGGTGAGCCGGACGAAAACCCCGATACCGGCATGCTTTGCGTCGGCGCAGGCATCGGCAAACGCTTCACAGTGGAACATAGGTGGCAGAGACAGTGGGAAAATCGGACACAGTTCAGAGAGGCAGGCGCGCCACATGGAGAGGACCTCGCGGGATTCCGAGGAAAGCTTGCGGTCAGAGTTCGTGGGCATACGGACGGAAATCCAGACCCGACGCTCCCCAGGAAAGGATGTCGGAACATCGGAGAGGCAAGAGGGTTTGCGGTTAGCCAAGGAGACCAGATTCAGAGTGCAACCCTTGGGGCAGCTAGCGGGAGAGCGCAGAGCGCAGCAGAGACCAACGGTCCGGCGAGACCGCCAAATGAACCAAAGGAGGGAGGCACTGGTCACGATATAGCAGAGCCAATGATGGTCGGAAAGGCCGGAAGAGAATCCAGGAGCGTACGGAGGCGGTGCCTCCAGGGCGGCGGCAAGGCAATCCTGCACCAACCAATCCAGTAATCCAGGTCGGACTGGAACCAAGATAGGCCTTGTGCCAACTCATAGGGACCCGGATCACAAGCAGAAGCACACACATGAGTGCGGCCAGGATTGGGGCGGAAGAACCGGTAAAAAAGGGAAATCAGATCGTCCACATAAATCAGCAGGGCGTGCTGGATGAACAGAATGCGGTGCAGGAGGCGGGTCAGCATTCCGGCAAGGCGGGCCAAATAGAAACCGGACGTGCGGGCCGCGAAACTAAGAGTCAGACATTGATAAGGAATGAAGAAACAGAGCAAACCAAGAGACGTTCAAGCGCGGGCTGGGACGGAAGGCATCGGCGCAGGCCGGAAATGGTGTGGTTTGCGGACTTATTCGGCAAGTGCGTGCGGGAAGTGACCCCGGACACGCTGCTGTCGACCACTAGGTGAGGGTCACGGTCCGGAGCCTTGGCTAGGCCAAGCTTGCCGACAGCGGAGCGCCATCCTCGACCCGTGACGAAGGAACAGGCCAGACCAAACGAGGTGGCACGACGGCCGGAAATGGAAGGATGAAAACGAGGGTGTGGGCAGGTTGAAGCCAATTGGGATAGGTCGGCGAGATTTGATACGAAGGTCCACGATTTGAAGGCAGACATGCCGTGGGCGCAGGCCGCAACCTGAGTAGCAGAAAGTGAATGATTTTCCAAACCACAATACCACCGGTGAGCAGGACGAGCGAAAGCAGCTCTCGGGTGATGGAGTGGAGCAGGTCCGAAGTCTCAAGTCTCAAGCTTCTGGCTGTGTGAAGGAAAAGGAATGCCAGACGGATGACGCGGGGTCCGGACAGGGGGAGCCCCACCAGGCTGAAGCTCGAGCAGGGAGGGGCCGCGCAGGCAACTCGGACAAGTCCAGACGAGCAGAGCCGCCTCAATGACTGCTGGTGCTTAACGGACAGGATGTCAATCTGTTCCCCCATAGAGAGCGTCAATCGGGGAAATCCGGTCACCAGAAAGGGGATACGGCGGAGATGAGCGCAGATGCCCCGGAAAACAAATCCAAGAACATGTTCTTGGATTCTGTCTGCAGACAGCCACGGGTGGAGCGGTTCCTGCCGGGGGCCGGAGCACACAATCGCGTCGGAGTCAGCGTTTGACTTGGAGGCTGCCAAGGAGACTCAACCAAAAGTGAAACAAGACAGTCACTGCAACCGGGTGGATGGGACCGGTAGGTCCATTTCAGGAAAACGGCAGAGGGGCCAGAGACCATGACGGGTCGGCGGGGTGAGCGGGACCTGGCAGGCTGCCAAACAAAGATCATCAGTCTGAGGGCCCACTTCCCTGGCAGGGGATGATGATACCGAACTGGCGTCATGTGACCCTACGGCGGCAGCATCGCAGACCTGGGGAGACGAAAGCACCTGGGCGGATGAGGCACCCTTCGGTGCCGGAGCTCAGTGGGCTGTTTTCATGTGCTCAGGCGCTGGCCGCACGGTTGGCCGGTTTGCCGGCTAGGATCGGGCATGAGTGAGAGAACTTGCAAGAGGCGAGCTTGCACCAGCCTAGAACGAATCTTTTACAGATTTCTTTGCAGGACGCGTCCAGGCCAGATCCCAAAGTTCCGACACCGGCTTCGCTTCTTGCCGCCAACAAAACGGTGCAATTTTCGGATCGGCCTTTTGGCTTGGATTAGTGAACTCCTTGCGAGGCTTCTTGGGAGGCCGATCCCCAGTCGGCTCGGGGCGGTCGGCGGACCCCGTGCTTCCCGATCCTTTGCCAGAAGGATCACGGAAGGGAGGTGCCGAGATGGAGCGGGGCTGCGGACACAGAAGGGTCGGAATCATGTGCCTGGTGACGGACACCTCGTGGAGCGCATCAGAGAGAGTCCACTTCTCGTGGCACATGAGATTGGCGATGGAAGCCCAGGTCGCCTTCTCCGCAGCGAGAACCTCCTGAAGGGACGGGGGCCGGAGCGAGGCATCCAGCGGAACGATCCTGCGGCCGCACGTTCGACGTTCGGGGTTGCTGCAGGCCAGCTGGCAGTATATCACTTGGCGGGCCAAGCAAGCGTATGATCCGGCCAAAACGGCCGCCGAGCATTGGCGGAGCAGAGCCAGCAGAGCCTCGTCGGACAGGTCCTGGTCAGGGACTTCACGAACCGGAAGCGCCGGAGCCAAAGACGGGCGCGCATCCCAAGGACCAGGAGCCCGGTAACCACGACCAGCCATGGCGGACGGGGCGACACAGCAATATGAACCCGTGCAAACGGCTGCGGCAGGAAGCAGGAGTGGCATGGAGTGGCATGCAGAAAAGCAGAGGCAGAACAACGCGCTTCAGAGGGCGGGCCTTTTTGGATGGTCGCGGAACACATCAGAATGCCTGACAAGCACGGCGGAGGCAGTGTTGAGCCCCAGCCGGCAGAAACCACAAGCGGGGCGGACCCAGAAAGGCTCAAGTCCAAACAGATGCACCTGTACAGCGCCGGCTGGTCTTGGGCGCGGGCCGCCGGGAAGCTTGCATTGTATGTCGAGGCAGTGATGTAATGCCGGAGGACAGGGAGCTGTGGCGGGCGGCCGAGACACGGGCGCCCATCGGCACCAGACTCCGCGGCAGGAGCGGCAGAAGAGGTAGTAGTGGCCGGCGCGGAAGAGGCACCACCAGCACTAACAGGGGCGACCAGAGCGGCAGAATCGACGCGGGCAGCGGCATGCGGACCAGTCTGGGTATCGCCAGCGGGATGGGCCGAGGCCGGTGTAGCCGGGGGCGGGTCCTCGCTGCCGCCAAAGGCTCCGCGGGCCAGGTGCTGGAGTGGATGCAGTATACCAAAGCAAGTCATGGCAGCAAGAGCAAGTAACGGCTGCAGCAAAAACCGGCATCCGGGCCTCGCCGTTCGGAGGCTGCGGAGCCGGGTCGGGCCTGGCCGGGCAAAGGGCTCAAAGATGAGCAGATCGGAGCAGCTGAGTGTCCTACAAGGGAGCACGGACCGGATCCGAAGGCCTGGCAAGCACGGAAAAAGTGCAAAACCAGACGGGGGCAGACCGGCCTGCGCGGAGGCGGAGCGGAAGTTCTCTTAACAAAGGTAGGAGAACTGCTGCTAGAGGAGCTCGATCTTCTGCGGTCTCGCCTGCGGCGGGACGGGGAAGACGAGTCGGAGGATCTAGGCATCAAGCCGTTGACGGCCTACAAAAGAAAATGCTGGAGTACCGTCGGCGAAACGGACCGGCACACTTGAGTCGAACAGCTGCGGTAGTTACACCTTGCCGTTGCGAGCTAGCGGACAAACACATTACGACCCGTCGAGAAACCGTAGTGGATAGTAGTACAAACAGAGATAAACGGATTGTCAAAAGAGACCATGAGCCTTTGGCGAACAGACTTTAAGCAAGTTTGTATCCTTTGTAGTCCTGTTGCTTGTTTCTGTCGAATTGGCTTATAGTCGACAAGCGATCCCAGGTGCGCAGCTTGTTGCTTTGTCTGTCGTTCAGTTGTGGCTTCAGTGTTCGATGTCCGTCTGCTGGTTGATATGCTTATGCCGTATGCCTCTGCCATAATCACGACACACACTCCGTTTGCTGTTTCTCTCCATCGCTCGTGGAGAGTTCGCTTACGATGTCGAGTGCTCAGCTTTGTGTTGCTTACCGAAGCAATGCCTGAGGTGACAAACTAACCCCGTGATAACATAACCGTGGCATGCTCTGGCTTCACGTGCAATCTCAAGCCAGCCCTTCTGCACCGCATTCCACCACAAGAAGGGCAAATACACGGACGTCCAACAAGTTGCTTGCACTTTGCACTGTCTGGTGAAGTCCTTCACTGCACGCTCGTAAATCAGGTAGCGTACTGCCCGGGGTGCCTCAGCCTGGCCAACTTGCCGCTCAATATCACGACACGGTGTCAGAAGTAGGGAGAAACTCGTTTCTGCGCCATCGCCTTCGCTTTCACATAAGCACACCACAGCCTGACCTCAGAGCCAGCTGAAGACCAGATGATGAAAGGGCTTAGTTTTGAGGCATTCCCTCAGCGAGCGACGCTGTATGGATTTATTTGAAGTTCCTGCTCGTACGCGACATCTGTTTCCCTCCTCGGCCAAGCAATCATTGAACCAAAGTGCTGCCGTAACACTATTTGGCTTGAATGCTGGGCTACCCGACAGCACATCATCTGAAATGGCCTGAAGAGTGTCAACGCGAGCGCCGCTCAGCTGCGATCTGTGCAGTCAGTACTCAAGAGAATCTTTTCGAGCCTCCCAGTCCATTTCACAAACGTCGCAGCCCGCGGCGAGGCCTGTGATCTCGGAGGTTTGCGACAAATGAATGACACGGATCTCTGAACTGCAACAGCCGATCCCAACCCGCTGTGTGTCTAAGCCCAGTGCCACCAGCAAAGCCGCTGCTGCGCCAACGAACACATAAACCGGAAACTTTACTCGTGTCAAAAAGCACCTTCAAACAAAAACACTCCAGTCACTGCCTGGTTTACTAAGACATCATCCAGGTCAGGGCTTCACATGAGCACGGATGTTTTGTCATACAGTTGTAGATGTCGTGCTCCTTCTTCTTGTATCTGCAGCAGCTGAATAGCTCGCAGGCGAAGCTGCTTTCAGCACAGCGCTGTCAATCAATTCAACCCCTCGTGTCATTCGACATCAAACTCGTTTTCCACTGGCGCTTCTCGAACATAACTGCGTGGAACTTTCAGTGCTTCAGGACCATGCTAGTGGTCTCATCGTCCTGCTAAGTCACGTCTTCAAGGCACGCTCCCATGCAATTCCGCTTTCAATATTGCTGCAGCTCTCTTGGCGGCCTCATCGAGAACTTGGCGACAAATTGCCTCCACGGAGTCATCAGCCTCGCGGCACAGCAAAAAAACTCGATGACTGCCTGGAATCTGCCAATGTGCACGAATACGAATCCCAAAGGCCCTCGATCCTGAATGCGCTTCAATCACACGTTCAGACCGAATCTGAAAGTGCGTCGCCTCCAGATCAAAGGAGTCCACCATCATGCGTAGTCTCAGCTTGCACACGAACACTGTCGTGAAGATGAGGGCAGCTTGCGCGGGATACCCACGAAAACTATTCGCACAACCGAGTGCACCTGCGACATCACAAGAATTGTAAACACCAAGCAATCATCGAAATGTGGCTCCTGGAACTTGAAGCTTGGAGACGTCTTTCGTCACGGTTGATGTTTCAGACCACCGACTAAAGGTCCGGATGACATGGAAAGCCGATGTGGCACAAAATTCCGGGAGTGGATGCAAACACGTGCAATGACAACATATTCAGAGCGGATGCTGAAAAAACTTAGGCCGTTGCTTCTTCAACGTTTCATCAGCATGGTGCTTTGCCGAGCTGACAGCTTCGACAGCTGCGCGATGCCGCAGGCACAGCAAACCTCACCACCAAGTGTGGTCAGCTGTATGTTCACGCTGTCACACTGTGCCCCACAGCACGGCTCAGTTTCACACAGTGTCTTTTACGGCTTTCTTGCAATCGGTGCAGACATCGCCTAAGAGCAAGAAGCAAGCAACACTTCTGGCATATTTCCTGGAGGTCGCGGTGAAGACGGACTTCACGAGCATTCCGAGCATGAGGTGCAGGCAACAGCGCCGATGCGCCGTGCAATTTCGCCTGGACAAACAAAAAACCGTGTTAACTGTGCTCGCATACCTCAAGTTCGACGCCGATGCCTTCCATTTTTGCAATGAGCGTTTTAATTGGCAGGTAGGTCCGGCCAATAAAGAATCATTCCGACATTCAACCACGCATTGACATTCTTAAGCTGATGCAAGCTACCCGCAAGACTTGGAGGTGAAAAGCTGCCTCAACGGCCATGACAGGCATTCCACAACTTGATTGAAAAAACTATGCTCCTGCTCGCTCAGTGGTACAGTACGACGTGGGACAATCCCAGCGCAAAGGTGATGAAACCATGTCAGAGCTGCATCGACCGTACATCGGCGTCACTACACTCTGGAAATACGCTCAAACATACCCATTCTCGGGCCCGGTCTCGCCACCTCAACTCTGCGAGCTTTGCCAAGCTCAAGCCGGCAAACCTTGTCACCTCAGGTTCGCATCCCTGCCTGCAAATCAAAAACTCGGCATCACATGCATCACACATCGCTGACGTCAAAACTGACTAAGTCAAATGCATTCCCCCAACCATGCCCGCTGCTGAGAAGAACTGGCCTGAGTCGAAACATGTAACCATGTGAAACGGCAACTGTCCCCACGAATGTAAGATGATGATCGGAATATTGCATGCGAGGCAACTTAGTTTCGAACTGCGGACCCAATTCCAATGCCGCAACGTTCATGGCCACTGCACGAAGGACATTCCTTGGAGTTCCATGTTCCCGATGAAATTGAACATGATTTTAGCCATTGTCATGCAGCACGAAAATTTGGTTCAAGGCATGGATTGCCCAAAGTGTCATGGAAACGGCATCACTGCTCCCAAAAAAAGCATGAAACCGAGCACGGTGGTTCATGCGGCACAAAACTATGTTGCAATCCCAAAACCTGTCCATGCGAATGTAACGGAATCATGGCGTCCTGTCAGAATGTCAAGCACGTTCTGACATTCTCCGTAATTTAGTTCCATGAGCACACGTTCATATTCGACTGTCCAGGAGCCGTGAACTGCGAACATCAATACACGTAACATTGTGGCACGCCCTGCAATTTTCGGATCGAATACGCCCCTGAGATCAGGATAAAGTAGCTTTTTGCAGATATTTGTTTGCACTAAGAAATCGAAAAAATCGCCATGGAAGGGCTCCATGGACAAATGTGTTGTTCAGGCTTTCGAAGTGCTTTGGTACACCACGGCAATGAACTTTGGGTCTTCCTCATCGTCGATTGTTTCAGAAACAACACTTAAGGAGAAGTGTTTTCGGAAGGCTTTGATCTGAGGCGTGATGTAGAGTGGGCTTTTCACAACAAGTTGCTGGTGCTTAGTAGGAAATGAGGGAATGAGTCACCTGCTTGCGCTCGATGACGGATGTGTTGAAAACCATGGTGCTTCGGAGCGGGGCGCGAAGTAATCTTTTGGTATTGCTTCGAGTTGGAAAAAGCATGTTGCCGCATGAAAAGATGCTTCCCGTGTCCTCAGAACAGAACATGTTTTTGTTTCCAAACATGGGGTTGTGGCTAATACCTGCAATTACCTTCATAAGAAAAAGGAAACCAGTTCAATACGAAGTCCCCAAAGGTTGTTTGTTTGCGATGTTTTCTCCACATCTCCTGGAAGAATCAAACCCTGTTCCCAGGCAGCCAAAATCAGTGATTGAATCGTTGCCAAACCAATTCATTTCGAATACTTCAGTACTTGACGTGTCTTTCTCTTGCTTGTCTCCGGATCTTTCAACGGAAATCAGAGCCACGTGACAGCAATAAGATTCCAAAATATAGAGGAGGGTTTTGGGTAGATAGACCAACCATGTGTCGAGCAAACCTCTTATGAGTTTCCTGTAACAAAACTTTCACAATACTTGAAGATTGGTTGTTAGGCTTATGCGCTTGTAACAGAACAGTCGTATTCAGCCAGCATGTCTTGCATTGTAGCATGTTTCCGCGCTAAGCTTCAGGCCGCTTACTGTCGACTTTCTGGCCCCATGAGAATCTTCTGCCACCCAAATGGCCGTAAGTAGAAAAGATCTTCGGCATTGCCATGAAACAGTAGACGCGGTTTCGGAAGGTCTGGGCCGGAATGAAGCAGACGGAGTTTAGAAAGGTTGGACCCAGACGGTCTTCGGTCTGGTCGATGGGTTTGGGAAGCTAATGAAAGCAGTAGAGGTCTCGTAGCGGTCTCTTTTCAAAAACGATCTGGCTTCTAAGCACTTGAAAACCAATCCATTCCACTTGGCTTGTCTAATTTGAATCGGGATTGGAGTCGTTTGTTTGCGTCTGTAGGGGGTCGCACGTGGGGTTTCGCTAAACGAAACAAAGTTGAATGCACAAAAAACACGATTTTGGGTTCTTACTTTGCTGTGCACTTTGTCGCAACTGTAATGGCAAGCTGTAGCAGCAGGTCTTTTAGACACTTCATTGTAAACATCAAAAATCAAAAAAGACTGCACAACGGTCTGGAGTTCAACAAAACCCTTGGCAAAGCAC